TTATCTTATATGCTAATCTAAAACTATAATGAGGGTATTTTGATCATAATATTTCATACCATTCAAATTTATGTGAGAAATCTCATCACATGAGCGCTGCATATGCTAAATTAATAAAAAATTGTAAGAACCTTTTGTAAGAGATGGCAATCAACCTCAAAACAAATTTGTAAGTTGAAAAGTATTTTAGACCAAAATAAAGAGATTTTAAAATTGTGAACCAAGATGAAGAGCAACATAAACTTATGGGAAATGAATTTACCCATATATTTTTTTTGAAGTTAAAAGCTCCACAAACTATTCTCCTGAGGTTGACAAATCAGAAAAATAGATCTTGATTCATGAGCAATCATTACTATGTTCTTTATTGGAAACTACAATAATGATCATTTTCAACACAAATTTCCTAAAAACACCAAAAAAATTATTGTAATTGCTCAGGAAAGTTATTAAAAAATAAAAAAAGACAAGAAGCATGGTTTCATCGAAGAACTTACCCTCCACTTAAGAAAAGGCGGCCAAGCGTAGCGATTGCAAGTCTAGATCGAAGGCCGGGATGAAGAAAATAAATAACCCGAAGCCTTTCTTTATACTCAACAGGTAGATCTTCATATATCCTCCACAAGATAAACATTCCAGGGTTATTCTCATTTTGCACAGTTGTGTGCATGTACAAAATGCAGAATGGACCTTCAGGCAGCTCAGTCGTTAGCTTATGGGACACAAACCTCTTCAAGCGCTCCCCAGAAACAACAGTAGCTGAAAATTGAGACAAATAAATTGTTATGCAATGAAACCCCTTTCTCTTGTAAAGAAGCAGTTCTGATCATGTCCAGGAATCCACAGCAATTTACCTTTATATTAATATTTTCTTCTAAAAAAGAAAAAAACATCACAAACTAAACTCAGATTATCAGATAAACCATAACAAACTTGGGGCATGCTCATGAGCAATATTCCACCACCGAAACATGCTTAATTATCAGCAAAATCAATAGGGTATTTCCATGGGAGCTGAAACAACATTCAGTAGCAGAAACGACCAAAACCAAATCAAGAAAAATAAAAAATCCTAAAACGAAAAAAAAAGGGTGGAAGACGAAGTACCGGGGAAATATTTCCCAACGATTCGAAGAATACGATTCCCTGACTTATCAAGTCCCTCAAATCGCAGGATCTGAAGCGCGACGAGATCGGAGAAATCTTCCTCCGAGCATTCATGCCACTGTTCCGCCTCCGCCTCGGCGGCCGCCTCTTCCGCAACCCGAGCTACGCGGGATCGAGCGACGACGCCAAGGTCCGAAGCCAAAACTAGTACCGAGAAATCCCCGCCGGGCTGCTGCTCCATTATCAATGTCTTCGGTTCGTTCTCCCCCCGCCTCCTTCAACTTCAGCAGCGGAGCTCTTCGATTTGTTGGGAATGGATTTTTCACAGTTATTATTATTATTATTTATATTCCATCAGTTAGACGGAGTTTGACCGCAGTCATTTAGTAAATTTAATTTAATTCCGTCTAAACATAAAAAAATAAAAATTAAATCTAACTTTAGATATATATATATATATCAATTGGTCGGGCATCCACTTGACAGTTGTAAATTCCCTATGGTCTGGGTTCAATTCCCCGAGTGTATGGCGTGATGCTCGAATTCTTAAGCTCATGAGAAATGATCGGGGCTCGTACATTAGCCTACGACCATTTCTTTTATTTCTTTTCTTAAATATATATATAAAGCAGAAACACTAATAACTTGTGGAGATTGTAATTGAGTTTGTGCAGAACATCAAAACATGTGTCATTCAAATTGATTTTTTTTTTCCTTCCTTCTAAAATTGATAGGTTAATGAACTCTTCATACAAATTGAACATACATTCATTTTCTGTTGATATAACTTTATATTTGAACGTATTTCATCATAGGATATATATATATATATATATGCTTGAATTGTAGAATCACGTGATATCTTATCATTATGAAATGAAATCAAACCGACTAATTTATTGATCTCTTCAAATCTCTTATGGACATACTTTTTATCCAATCCCACTGAGAAATTTTTCTTAAAGATTGTAATATAATTTTAAGACTATATCATGTAATTTAAAAAATAATTTGTTATAATCTCTCACGCAGACATGTATATCATAGTGATATGTTTTATTTTACATTATTTGCAAAGCCGCTCATGTACCCGAAATAAAAATTATAATACCTAATTCAATACATTATGAAACATTGCTAGAATATTTTAGAAATAAAATAGCTAAATTGTAATAAATTGAACATATTATACCTTGTATCGTGAGGCGTCGGGTACGTCTTAGAACTCCATTAAAATATTCAGAAGCATTTATTATCAAAATACTAAATCTATACCCGTCATTATGCACTAATGACTATTTTGTAATATCTTGCCCGGCCAACCAATCAAACACATATTTTTAATGTTTTTTATCTCATTCATGTGTTTATTGAACGTACGTTCTTCATAAGTGTTTCTTGCCCGTTACATTCTATGACAAGACAATATCAACATTAGCAATGACGAGACAACGTGGTATTTTCTTAAAAATTTTCTTTTAGATGTCACAGACAATGCCTATGTGCAACCCAAGAAAAAGCCTTTCTACATCCTCTAAGTAGTCCCAGATGCCTATTTGATATTATGCAAAGGTTTACATAGAATCAAACTGGAACATATAATTATTGTAGAAACCATAATTAGGACTAATTATTTTCATACTCAACCACTGCGAATGTTAAAGGGATGAGACTATCATTTTCATTAATATGTATGACATCTAGTAAAGTATCTCTATATTTTTACAAGAAAAAAAAATCTCATTAATATTAAGTGTTGATGACAGAAGTCATTAATTTACATTTAGAATGAATGTCTTGAAAATTCCATAAAAGTGTGCAATATTGCTTTTTATTTTGTAGATAGATCTAGATATCTCCATATATACAACTTCCATCATATGAAATAATGAACAGTATGACTCCTCATAAATGCTATAAATTAACTTTAACATCTTTATTCGTGCATCTCAAAATTTAATCAATGTAATACATATATTAAATTTAGAATTTCCTTCATGCAATTTTTTTTTTCAAATTTAGTTGTTGTCATAAAATGGTATGTAATGAGAAATAAATCTTTAAGTGTAATTTCAATGACTGTTCAACATAACTATATCGGTACACGTATGAGATGTTTTAATTGAAAATATCTTCGAAGAAACCCCTAAGCAACTAATTTTTAAAGTATGTAGTTGTCAATGACAAAGACATGAAATCATTAAGTGGAAGAGTAGAAGATGAAAGTTTAAAAAAGATATTCCTTCATATATTAATGATCTTTATTTGTGATTTTTGTTCTTTGCTTAGATTATTTTGGGTGTTTCGCTCCATCTCTTTGTTTATGCTTTGATTTTAAATTATATTTTGGTTGGTTTTCCTTTTTGCTTCTATTTTAGGTTTTTTTCTTTACATTTAGTCCCACTATTTTTTTTGTCTTTTTTTTTATTTGGCACTGTTAAAGTCAACAGTTTATATTCTCTTGATTGTTATTAAAATTCAACTGTATTTTGAATATCTATGGTCTTTTTTATTTTAGATATTCATAATACTTATAAGGAATACTAATGCTTTTATTTCAGCTAAAATCTCTCAGTATTTTTCCTTATATGTTGATATAGTTTTCAACTATCTCGCTACATCATTAGCATTTTGTTCCGGTTGATTGTTATTTTTTGTCGTTTTTTGCTTTTTTTTGTTCTTGTTGGTTCGTTGTTTGATCTTCTTATTCTATTGTCTTTATCCTGTTGGAAGTTGTCTTTCTTCTATCCTGTTGGACCATTCTTTAGGGTTCCATGGGTGATTATATTGACAATTATTTAGAGTTTTTGGTTCTATTCCGATATTAAATGATGTGATTTGTTGTTTTTTTTGTGTTGTTTGGATTTTTTAAGTTGTTCACATCTTTGGAGCTATTTGGTTTTATTTATTTCATGTGTTGCTTATTTTGGTTGTCTAGGTTTTTATTATATCTTTTTCCAATTTTTTCTTAGGTTTTCTTATCTGTTTTTTATTTTCATCCATATTTTTCAATTTTATTTGATTTTAATATTCTTATTCTTGGATTGTAGTTTTTTATTGAGATTTTAACGTGTCAACCGCCCAAAATACAGAATATAATATTTTAAACATCTAAACTTTAAATATGACAATTTAATCATTTTTTTTTTTTTCATTCCAACTACCCTCTTTTACTTGCTGGTGAAGTTTTCGAGTTAAAATTTTGGGTGGTTAACATGTATTTAAAATTTTAGTGGTTTTGGGTGTAAGTCATGCCTACTCATGAGTTGACTGGATCATTGGTTCAAGAACTAAACTCGGTCACCTTACAAGCCAAGCTCAAACTAGGCTTGGCTCGACTCACTAGCTCGTGAGCGGGTTCGATTAGAAAAATATTAATATAAAGAAAAAAAAAAGTAGAGATATATTACATTTGAAGACTTATCTTTAAAATATTTAAAAAAATATATATTTATATTTTATATTGAATATTTTCTTATTTTCTCTCTCCAAGTTGCTCCTTTAATTTGTCATTTTATTATAACATTATCTTAAATTAATATTATTTCCTATATTTTATAGTAGAATAAGTCAGGTCAGGAGCCGAATGAAACTCGGACTTAAGCTTGAGCTCAAGCTCGAACTCGATAAAATTAATCAAGAGCAAACTCAAGTTGGTTGAGGCTCAAGCTCGAGCTCGACTCAACTCACTTCCACCCACACTCAACAATGCTAAGCCACCTAATAAGGCTCTCCTTTTGTGAACTTATTTTCAAGTCATTCGTTAAGCTAGTATAATTTGAATAGATATTATGAACATACGATTATCATAGGCATTAGATTGTAATACGAATGGTCGAGATACAAACATCAACCCTAAAAATTAAACCATTAAGCACGAACGAGATTTATTATTACTCAGGCAAGATCAAATTCAAAATCATGACAATAACTACTAAATCATTATCAACCAGACTATCTGGCACCCTCTGCTATTCACATTATGTTTTCATTATTAGGGCCTATAAGAAAAAGTTGACTAATTACATATCTTCCCGGCAAGACCATCTATCTGCATACCTTCCAATTGAACCTTCCATGGCCTCCATAGCAGATAGGCGGAGAGGATCAGCCTCTAGGCCATAGTCTGTTAAAGGCCTGCGCTCAAGAACTTCATCATGACGCTGCACAAACTCTGGGATCTCAACCTGTCCCTTCCTTATGTCTGCCCACACGAACTCTAATCGGCTTATATATTTGATTTTCCAGTATATGCTGCAAGGTTCAAAACGACAACGCATCATTTATATAGATATATGTATAATTATAGATAATGATATGGTATTTTATGTAATGTGAACATTTACAATTATACAATATTTAATTCATCTGCTTGTTTAAAAACACTTACCTTAGCTCCCATCCTTTTCACATCTGCCAACCTCATTTGTTTTCCCGGTCTTAGCATTTCAAAACACTAAAATTTACAGCTACATCATTTTTGCCCAGTTAAAAAAAAGGGGAATTTACATACATACCACCCATTTCTTATGTATTTACATATGTAACACTTAAAACTTTGAATATTGAATTTTTATCACCCAAATCTTTCATACCACATCAAAATTATCACTATTTTTAGTGAAAAAAAAAAAGGTGAAATACACTTATTCATACATAGCTGGAAAAATTGAAGTTTAGGTGTTAGACGTAAATACATAAGAATCGAGTGGTATGCATGTACATCTTCCTAGAAAAAAAAGAAAAGAAGTTAAATATAGTTGAATCTCAATCTAAATATCGGACTCAACATGGTAGTGGAACATATTTGAATTAACCTTGAACCGACTCGAATTTTAATCCTATCCATAAAGTTATTAATATCATATTTAGGCTAGGATCTACCCGGTCCAAACCAACCCAATTGACAAGACTACAATCAGTAGTGCTCAAACACTTCACTACAAAGGATGAAGTGTAATCCTCAAAAGGAAAGCGCAGGCTTCATTATTTTGATTTTATAGACTTAAAAAATCAAAGTAATTATAATATAAAGTAAGGAACATGGAAAAATAAGAATTTCTCATACGCGACAATAATCATATTAACATGAAGTTAATTATGTAACATTTATTCATAGGTAACATTATTAGAATAAATAAGTACTACAGATCAAGATTACAATGAGTTTAAATTTCAAATAAAAAAATACAAGAATAGATTAAGTAATCCAAAAGAAGAGCAACAAATAGGTGGTATTGAGTAAGGTCGATGGAAAAGTATAATGTCCACAAGATGAGATGAAAGACGAGACATAAAATCGCAAAGAAAACTCTTACATAAATGCATAT